CAGTCCTCCACCCTCCCAGTGCAATGGAGACATGTTGCCCACATCCCTTCCACTGGAGGGCTTACTGCCTCCACCCCTGGGAGTATGGTCAGCAGGGAGCTTTCAACTGTGAGCCTCTTGGGATGCCTCAGCTTCAGAGAGTTCCCCTAAGGTCACACCCTTCCTTATCCAATGACTGAATGAGGCAGGGGGTATAAAGTTATAGCCATTTGGGGCCCAACATGGAAAAATTCTGAGCAGCCAACCTAGCTCCAAAGCCCCCTGTAAGGGTGGATGAGTCTGCAATGGGCCCAATCCTGCTTCCTTCCCACAGATGCTGATCCCAAAGGGACTCCCTCATTAAAGTCCTGCATTCCACGCACCGTCTCACAATCTGCTCCCCTTAGGCCCAACTGCAATACACCAAGCAGGCTGCCCCCCGCCCTCCTCCCAGTCAGCCCATGGCTAACGTGACAGGACCAGACAGGTAACAAGATGTATCCTGCCTTGCTTTCTGTGAGGCACGCCTCAGTACCAGCCTCTCAGCCCTGGCAGGATCTGGACACAGACGCAGCCCCCACTGCGCCAACCCCTACTCCATGGCCATGCACTATTAGATCTGCATACACCCTTGGTTAGGGGATTGACTCCCCTAGTTTTCAAGTGGAGAAATTGAGGTCCAGAGAAGAGGTGACTTGCTTAGTCACAGACCCGAAGCCAGTCTCCAACATTTTTCCCTGGTGTTAACCCCAGGAAGGTACAGGGTCACCCATCTTCCCCCCTCCCTCTTGACTCACTCAGCAGCACCAGGAAGAGACCCCATGTCCTGGCCACTGGGCCAGCTCCCATCCAGAATCCCAGAGCAGCAGCCTTCTCTGGCTCCATGGTGGGAAAGAAATGGCAGGGGACCCCTGGAAGGTGCCAGTTAACTGGCCCTACCTTAAACACAAACATCTCGCCCCGGAAGAGGGCCACTGTGTTGAAGTTGCCATCACAGATGTTGGGTTTGGCGCCGGGTGTGGATGGCCTGTCCCCAAGGGGTGGCCGAGGGGGCCTGGGCTGGCGCTCATGCTTCCTCTCAGACGGTGAATGGATCCTGCGGACGGGGAGCGTGGGGAGGGGCCTTGTGGGCTCCAGGGGCTCGGCTGGGGGTCCTGGAGAGAGGGGCTGCATCTTAGAAAGGAGCCAGCCACTCCCCACCTCCCCACTGCCCTTGACTTGTCATCACCCAGGCAGCCCTGAGACAAGTCTGTCACATTCCAGCCTCCTGGCCTCGCTCCCCATTTTTACTCCCCCAATCTTTGAGAAAATAGGTGAAAAAGAACCATTAATTGGGACTCTCATCTGTCCGCCCTCAAACGTGGTGTCTTCTCTTTCTTCTCCCCTGTTGTGGGAACATGTCCCTTCTGAGGCTCAATGTCCCATACCCTCTCCACACACCCTGGCCCCACTTCCTCACTCCTCCTTCACTCCGTTTTCTTTTTAATCCTCACTGGAGGATCTTTTTCCCATTGCTTTTCAGAGAGAGGGGAAGGCAGAGAGAGAAACATCGATGTGAGAGAGACACATCGATTAGTTGCCTCCCGCGTGCTCCCTGACTAGGGCCGGGGTGAGCCTGCAACTGAGGTCCCCTTGGCCAGAATCGAACCCGGGACCTTTCAGTCCACGGGCTGACGCTTTAACCACTGAGCCATGCCAGCTGCGGCCCCCTTCACTCTTTATCCTGCTCCAACATTGACTTCTGCCTCATCACCCACTGACACTGCTCTGTCAAGATCACCAATGGCCTGAATATTACCAAATCCAATGGTTACTTGGCTCAGACTTTGATGTACATAAGAATTCTCCAGGGATCTTGATAAAATGGAGATTATGACTCAGAGGATCTGGGTGGGGCCTGGGATTCTGCATTTCTTCAGGCCCTTGGGTGATGCTCATGCTCTCTGAGGCCCACACTTTGAGTAGCAAGATCATAGAAACACCTTCCTTGAAAGTCTCCTCTCTTTTCTGGAACCCTGCACTCTCCTGGTTCTCTTACCTCATGGACTGTTCCTTCTCAGCCTCCTTTACTGTCAGCCTTTCCTCACCCACCCTACTCTAAAGATGGGGGTAGCCCTGGGTCTGGTCCCTAGGGCAGAACTTCTCAACTTGGGCTGCATAATAGGATCACCTGGGGAACTTTAAAAACTGATGCTCAGAAGGCACCCAGACCAATTAAAACCAAGTCTCTGGGGTGAGGGCCTGGTATCTGCATTTTTCATTGAAATCTGAAGGCGATTCCAGTGGGCAGCCTGGTTGAGAATCACCACCCTAACTGATCTCATCCAGGTTCACGGCTTTACAGACTTTCTGTTAGAGTTGCCCAATAGGATGTTCTGTGATGACAAATGTTCTATATCCTCACTGTCCAATACAGAAATGAGTAACTAGTTATTAGTGTCACAGAGAAACTGAAACTTTAATTTTATTTAAGTCTAATGAGTATAAATTTCAATTTCAATAGCCACATGTGGCTAGTGGCTACTATACTGGACACCAAAGATTCCCCAATCAACACCCCAGTCCAGATCTCTGAGCTAGACTTGTCAGTCCTATTGCCCCACAATTACAAAAGCCAGAAACCTTGCCATCTTCCTTACCCCATGCCTGATCTAGTTTGTTCTGTTTTCAAAATAACTTCCAGTTACCCCCAGCCCTGTCCAGTCCTCTATAGCTTGACCTACAGAGATCCTGCCTGATGTCTGGGGCTCTGGGTGGCGCCACCTCCTCTGTGAGTTCCTCAGGACCTCCAGAAGGAACCCTTCTATGCACCATAGCCGGGGGGAGGGGG